GGATCTCTTAATGCCCTGAGTTCTTTCTCTTTCCAGTGATCCCTGGACAGAGACAAGAGGAGCTGCCTCCTTGTGCAGTACATGGAGTCTTGTGGAAATTTCCTTCCGTTACAGGACTGCTTAAGGTGATACCAAAATTCTTGCTTTTATCCCTCCCGAGAAGTGGCTCCCTTCCACATTATCAGTAACAGTTCCGGTACCTTTGGAAGAAGCAGGAGCTGAGCCAGTGTGTATTTAGTGCTGCTCCCGGTGGCACCTTCTCACCATCCCATAGGCCACATGCCCTTTGTGACATTTCCTGGGAACATTTGCATTAACTTTCCTTTCTGCAGAGAACTGGCCCTTCAGATAGCAGCAGTCGTCACATAGCCTGCTTTCTCAGGTTCTCTAGGTCTTCCACATAATGCCGCCCTAGATAAGACAGGCTCTGTTTGTAGTAGCCAGGAAGCAGGCACAGCAGGATTTAGCAATGGGCTGGCTAAGGTAGCTAGCGAGAAGCAGGACTCAAAATAACCCTGCTTTATGGAACTTATGTCTGTCTGTCAGTTTTAAGAGTATTAGTTTCTTTGAGGAGCTTGTGTCATTCCTTGGTTCATGCAGTTTGGGGGAGAGATGAATTTCAACTGTGTAAGAAAGGTACAAGATAGTCTGTGCAGGGCAGAGCCTTTCAGAGGCCCTCTGTGGCAAGTTCCTAGGTTGTTTCCTGTTTTCTTCTTCTTCTTCTGTCCATCCTCTTTGCCATTCGGGATGGGGATTGAGCATTTTAGTCAGGGTCCTCTCTCTTGATTACTTTCTTTAGGTGTACAGATTTTAGTAGGTTTATCCTATGTTATATGTCTATATGAATGAGTATACCATGTCTGTCTTTCTGCTTCTGGGACAGCTCACTCAGGATGATCCTTTCCAGGTCCCACCATTTACCTGCAAATTTCATGATTTCCTTGGTTTTCATTGCAGAGTAATACTCCATTGTGTAGATGTACCACAATTTCTGCATCCATTCTTCAGTTGAGGGGCATCTGAGCTGTTTCCAGCTTCTGGCTATTACAAATAAGGCTGCTACAAACATGGTTGAGCAAATGTCCTTATTGTGAACTTGAGCCTCTTTTGGATATATGCCTAGGAGTGGTATGGCTGGATCTTGAGGAAGCGCTATTCCTAGTTGTCTGAGAAAGCACCAGATTGATTTCCAGAGTGGTTGTACAAGTTTACATTCCCACCAGCAGTGGAGGAGGATGCCCCAAGTGGGTTACATAGTAATGGGAAGAGGGACTGCCTCTGACATAATCTGATTGGCCTGCTCTTTGATCACCTCCCCCTGAGGGGGGAGCAGCCTTACCAGGCCACAGAAGATGACAATGCAGCCACTCCTGATGTGATCTGATAGACTAAGATCAGAGGGAAGGAGAGGAAGACCTCCCTTATCAGTGGACTTGGGGAGGGGCATTTGTGAAGAAGGGAGAGGGAGGGTGGGACCGGGAGGGGAAGAGGGAGGGCTTATGGGGGGATACAAAGTGAATAAAGTGTAATTAATAAAAATAAATTAGATTAAAAAAAAGAAAGGTGCAGGAAATGTCCAGTAGTGTAGGCAAATATACCTCCAGGATCTATACTGCAAGTAGATAGTTCCAGCTACACAACTTTCAGGGGTCAGTACACCCAAATCATCCCTTCCTGGAGAGAGATTCCTTGAAAGTCAGGAAGTAGGCCTCCTAAGCCTCAGCAAATTCCTTAAAACTTAAAAGATTCCAAAGTCCCACCCGCAAGGACATACAAATAGTAATTTTTGCTTGAAGAGATTTCCCGGGTGAGCTGCTTGAAGGAAATTCTGATCTGCTGAACTGCATGCAGGTCATTCAGGGAGCGTCGAGGAAGCAGAGCTCTAGGGATGCCTCCCCTGGGATGAGCTTTTCAGTGCTCCTGTAACTCGAATGCACTCACTGGTTCGCCATATTGGACTGGGGGTGGTGGTGGTGGCTGTTACTTGGTTCTTTATCTGAGTTAAGGAGACATTTGCAAATGCCTTTCCAGAAAAAGTCACACAAGATCTACAAGACAAAAGTTTAAGGGTGCTGGAGAGATGGCTAAATGGTTAAGACACAGCACTGCATAACTGGCTGCTCATAACTGCAGGTCCAAGGGGCCTGACGCCCTCTTCTGGTCCCCTCCGGTTCTGCACTTGAGTAAGGCCCAGGATCTTTGGAGTCTCCAACTCATCACTCGCTTCTCTGACAAACTATGCTTTGGCAAGGGGCAGAAGTCAAGCCAGGTATATCTCCCTGTGGCTTTTCACTACAACCCACAGGACTGAGATGGCAACCTCTGTGCCTGAGCATGAGTGAGACATTTTTTTCTCTTTAGACTGAGGTACTGCCAATCCAGGCCAGGGACAGCTGCCACCATGCCTCACCATGACCCTGACTCCTATCCTGTGCCCTGACTTCTATGGTGTCTCAAGTATATATGCTCAGGGGACCTGGCAGAGCTGAGAACAAGGAACATAGCAGCTGACAGCTGAGAGCCCATTTCACAGACATGGAGAAATGCCAGGGAAAGGGATTGCACAGGAATGGAGGCATTGTCCCATCTTACCCCACTGACAAAATACAATTTCAAAGACAACATTATTAAGAAATTTAAGATTGCCAGGCAGGCAGTGGGGAGTGGGAATTTGCATACCTTTAATTCTAGCTCTGGGCAGGTAGAGGCAGGTGGATCTCTGAGTTCCAGGCCAGTGTGGTCTACAGAGTGAGTTCCAGGATGGCCAGGGCTAAACAGAGAAACCCTGTCTCAAAAAACCAAACCAAAACAACAACAACAAAAATGAATGAAAGAACAAAACAGATGGCAACTGTAGGACTATAAGACCTTCAGGAGCTTTGGAATGTAGGGGCCTGTGTGAGTACACTGTTGGATGCCCATGGAACTCTCCTTTCTTGTGACAGTACTTAAAATTGTGGAGCAGCATCAGTTCCACAGGGAAGAGGCTGAAGACTGAATCCGGCAGAGTACCATCATTCACAGGCTGGGCAGAGAAAGCATCTTTCTGGCTGAAGACAAATGAGGAAGAAAGTATTTGGTCTGTGACCCTGACTTGGAAAAGCTTTGCAAATACAAATGCCACAGAATGCCAGGAGCATTTTCTCTCACAAACCACGCATCATACAGCCAATTTTCTAGGGTCAAGGGCGTGGCTCCTATACAGGACTATTACGTGAATTCATTTTATAGCATACATTGATCAATTGGAAAAAAAACAACAACAAAACACCACACAGTGCATGGAAAGAACTGCAGGAAATGCGTTAATGGACCAAATGGGGTGGACTAATAATAGACTGGCAGCTGGCCTAAGCAGGTAATTCGATTTCCCCGTGGCAACAGTCAGAGCTACATAACAGACCAGCAATGCCTCTGTGTAGTGCTAATCAAGCAAGAAGCAAATGGAGTCTCTAAAATTGGTTAAGAATCCCAAATGATTCACTGAAACTTGATTCAGAATCAAAACCAAGAACTGTCCAGGTATATGGGTTAACTCTGAGCGAAGTCTTAGGTGAGAGCATCTCCCGAAACGTGTGGCAAGTCAGAGAGGAGACCCGAGGGTTGGAAGAAGAGGTACGGAAACCCCTCTAGAGGCCGTTTATGAAGTGCTTCTAGCACAGGCCACAGACAAGATGCTCACTGGTCTGGTGTCCGAGTGGAGCCGTGGTGACAGCTCCTATGGTTAGAACCGGTGCAGGGCATGAAAAGCACAATGAAAAGCTGAGCGAGAATGCCCTGGAAACTTCCTGTAACCCGAACACCTCTGGAACTGCGAGTTGGCTAAAGGCATCCCTTCTGCTCGCTCTCAGCGGTTCCCCCGGTCCTGAAGACCAGTCTTGCTTCATCATCTTCTGCTTCTGCCTCTGGGGTGCTGGGATTACAGCCATAGCTGGCATTACAAGTCACAGATGGCATTAGAGGCCATAGATGGATGGCATTACAGGTTGGTCATGGCTCACTGGCTCTTTCCCTCTCTCCCACCTCCCCTCCCTCTCTTGAGAGCCTCCTTGCCTTCTCAACATCTCCAGAGTTCCGCAGTCACTTTTCGGTTTTCTTCACTAAAACTGGACCCTAAAAGGCATGGATAGCGTTTCCGGTAACTGGCACTGTCTTTTAGTGCATATTCGCGGTTAAATCCCTTCATTAATATTGACCGCGATGTTTTTCTTTTTTTTTTTTTTTTTCCCTTCACATGAGAACACTAAAAATAACTGTATGAGGGTTTGGGAGTGTAGGTCGGTGTAGAGTACCCCCCTAGCATACTAGGGGTGCTGGACTAGATTCCCAGCATCTGAGAAGGCAAAGAGGAATAAGAGTAATGAAAGAATAAAATACATGGTGATTTTAGCGTCTTCGAGCAGCGCTGGACCATGTCATAGAACCGGGCTCAGAAAGCAAGGGCTTAGACAGTTGAGTGAGCAGCACCCGGCACTGCGTCTTTGGCAGCAACTAAGGGCTCTGCAGTTCTAACTGCTTCCCTGCGTTCTGCTACGCCCCAGCGTCCTACACTCTCTGCTCCATTTCATTTCTTTGTTCTTCCTTGAACTGTAGTTTCCCCACATTGCCCTATTCACGTGTTTACACTCAGCTGTGACGTGTTTGGCCTAGTCCCGGGGCTTTGAGGTCTGATTTGCAACCGCTGCACCCCGCGACCACTCGCCCCCCGGGTGCTCCCTCGGGCGGGGACGGACGGCTCCCCGTGCGCACGTGTAGTTTCCCCGACACTGATCCGGCACCTCCGGTCGTCTCGCCGTTTTGCAGCGTGGTTTCAAGGGCCCTCGCGAGCCCCTCGGAGCTGGCCGGCCTGTGCGGCTACGGCGCGCTCCGCAGGCGCAGCCCGGCGCACCCAGCCACTCCCCTCCCTCCGCCCCCCACCCCCGACTTCCTCCCGGGCTCCCCGAACACGGGGCGGTTTGATCTGGGGCGGGAGCGGCGGCGTCTCTCTGGGCATGCTCAGTCGCTGGCTGAGCGGCTGGTGGAGCCGAGCGCGGGCGGAGCGCAGCCGGTCTGCGCCGAGAGGGCTGAGCGGAGCTTGCAGCCCCAACCGAGCGGAGCCGAGAGGAGCCGAGAGGAGCCGAGCGTAGGTCTTGGGGAGACATGCAGATGATGACTAGGAACGTCCTGCTCAACATGGAGCTGCAGGAGGACGACGATGAGGATGGAGACATCGGTGAGTGCCGGGGCCGGGGCTGGGCTGGGCTGGGCTGGGCTGGGGATCCGGGGCGGACGTCTCTGCGCAGAAGCCGTGGCTCAGAAGCAACTTCGGGTTTTTTTCCAGCGTCCGCTCCGGGCGGCGTTTTTGAGGGCCCCTGCTGTCGGGTCCACAGCACACCTGCCCCGGTGTCCCGGAGGCCACGGGCTGTGCCGCACGCTTGTCCCGCCCGCAGCCCCGCACCGGCCCCGCAGAGACACAGACAAAAGGGCTGGAGCCCCGGGCGCGGGGCAGGCGCGCGGGGCGGAGGACGGTGGCCCGTTGCCATCAGGCCTCCTGGATGTCAAAATGTTCCCTCTCACGGCCGGCCTCCGAGCACTTTACAAAGTAAATTTAGGAGTTGGGTGTGGCCTTTCCTTCCTTTTAGGTTTTACTCACAGACCTTTTAAATCAAAGGAATTTGGAAACTCCCTGGTCTTGGGCGAATTTCAGGATTACACGCCAGGATTTAGCCTTGACCTTTGGTGGCGACAGCGGTTTATCAGGCACTCATATTTACGGAGAGAGCGAATAGTATTCCTTTTTTAAGTAGTGAGGAAAAGTGTGCACAGGTTAACCTCCGTGGCGGCTCACGCTGTTAAGCCCAAGTTTCTCATTGACCAGACTTGGGCAAGTTAAGGCTCTGCACCTGGCCACCACGGGAACAAGACGTGGGATGCTACACTTTAGTGACCAGCCGTGGGAGCGTTAAAAAGTTACACTCGCATTAGCACAGTTAGTTTCTTAGGAAAAGTACTCTGGTCTGTCAAAGTGAGGATCAACCGGAATAGAAATTGCAAGGCTCCCAGCGCAAACGCTTGGCGCCATCAGATTTCAGTTTAGAAAGAAAATCTCATTTGGTCTGGCTAGCCTCTGTTACATGATAGGGCGTCAGAGGTTGCCTTCAGACCCTGGCAGTAGGCTGGCTTTGCTTTTAGTGACCTAATATAATTCGTGTTTGTTCCATGAAATAAAACAGATGCAGTTAACTATTTCTCCCCCCTCTTAACCGTGCCCTACCCTCTCCCCATTTAGGTTAATACTTGACTGTAGATAGCAGGCAACCTATGGGTTTGTCAGGCAAACCATACTGGCAATTTTTTGGTTGTTCTTGATTGAATTACAAATTTAATGTCCTTCTAGAAGGATGAGCCGTCTTGAAGGTTATGGGAGCAGTCTGACAATGGTTTGCAGACTATTACAAAGTAATTTCCAGCTGTGGGAGAGGAGACACTGGTGAAGTCTGTAACTGAAACCTCTGCCTCCATTCTTGTAGTGTTAAAGCTCTTGGTTAATATACTTCTTCAGTACTTGCCCCTCGAGTGATAGTTGTTCAACAGTATAAAGCACAGCCAGTACTGACCTTTTCTGTTAAATTTCTCTTAGCTTTATAATTCAGAGCAGGAAAATTACTTTGACATGAGGCCCTGATGTCATCCAATGCTAACTGCAAGCCGTGAAGGTAAAAACCAGATGGTACTATCATTGAGATTGTCTACCTACGTGTGTGAAGCTGGGACTTCTGGGAGACGGGGCTGGGGAGCTTTATGAGCAATTAATTCAGTTTGTTGTCCGGTACTTAGGTGCCAGGCTGGCCGCATGTGGGATGAACCCACGTGGAGAATTGAAAATGGTAAACTTCCCACGGTGACTTCCTCATTTGCTTAAGTCATGGCCACCAGAAATTATGCCTGAAAGGCGAGATGAACCCATGGGGCCCAGTGTTTTGATTTTTTTTTTTTTTTTTTAATTTGCCCTCTGGATTTCACCAACCGGCCACAGAAATCCTGTCTAGGCAGCAGTTGCAGGAGATGCCCTAGTGGAGGTGGCCCTGTAGAGGACTGTCCTTGGCACTGTTCAGTGAGCGCCCCTTCTGGATTTAAAAGGCCACAGGAGCAGGACAGGTGAGCCGGCCCCGCTGGTAAAGGCATCTGCTACCAAGCTGGAGGCCCCGAGTTCAATCCCCAGGACCCACACATAGGAAGGAAGACTCTTTGTTTGGGCATTGGCATTGTCCTACCTCCACCCCTTAAAAAAGTGACAGCAATAGCTTTTATGGCCAAATGTAGACGCTCTTGGTTAATATATTTATTCAGTGCTTCTTACCCCACTAGTAGTTTGTATAATAGCTTAAAAAATGTTTTTATGTTTTGAATTATCTGTGGTTCAAACTCTGCCAAGGGAAAGGGATTTTAGATCTGGGAGCCAGGAGGAAGAACGAAGGGTTCAGATGGTAAGTTTGCTATGGAGAGTTGATTGGTTAGTTTGGCTTCCCAGTTAGGTTAGATGGTGGGTGGTTGGAAGCTTTAGGTTTACCATCTGTTTTTGATAGTTGACACCATGATTTCTCACAACTGCCAGTCATGTCACTTGGGAAATGGACAGGGGCCATGTGAGGGAATGAATGGCCCAGCCATTCCTCTTCAGACTTTGTTTGTTCTCTTTCACTGGTACTTAGTCTTAGGAAGACTTATGTACTCCTGTGATCTCTAGTCCCTCAGTCCATTTCATGTTTAATCACCCCCAAATCTAGTCCTGGTCTGTTAGGCCTCATCAACATTAGTTGTGCAAGCCTTGTGTGCTAAGTGAAGGAGGCAGTGTGTTGGGCGAGGGCAAGAGACAGCCCTGCCCTGGATTGGGGTCCCTTGCAACAATGGAAGTTCCTTGTGGAGGGTAGCTTTATTGAAGTGTATGCATAGGAGAGCATGAGAGGGAACTTTCCAGAAGCTGTGGGAAGTCTGGTCCATGCAGGTGCATAAAGGGCAGGAGAGTTGCCAGGGCACAGACACCAGGCGGGCAGGACATGGAATGGCTATCCTGAGAAGACACTGTAAAGGTCTTGACCTATCTGTGACTTAGGAACCCCAGAAAGGTGTCATGGAAAGATCGGACCTGGGAAGCTGAGCATTCTGGGAAGTGGAATGTGCTGGGAAGTGAAGGAGGAGGGAGATGGCGCGGTAATCCTTCCCAGGAATTGGTTTAGAAGTGGCTGCAGTGGCCCAAGGATTAAAGAGAGTGTCCTAGAGTTTAGGATTCTAGCTGTCACTCCTAGAGTAACTTCCTAGGAGTTGAGCTGAGTGATGGGAAGGACAGGTGTTGTGGAGTGGGTGGTGGTATCTGTTATGTCTGTTATGTGGCTGCTTTGGCTCAGACCGTTGCCTTCAGCCCCATGCCCTCTCTTTCTCAGTGACCTTCATCCTTCCAAGCCAGTTACAAACTCCTACAGATAGTGCTGAAACCCCATCCCCAAGTGACCCCTCCAGTGCATTCTCACATCCCTTGTTTCTTGGTGCTGTGTACTCAGTCTTAACTTGCTTTTTTTGTCTCTGTGTTTCATGATCTCTGCCTTTATTAGCACTACAACTGAAGAATAAATTTCTTAGTGCTGGGTGGAGTTCATTTAAGTCTTATAGGGATTATAAAAAATATCTCAAATGATGTACCTATCTGTAAAACAAAACTTTAAAAAAACATGTGTCTCTTTTTACCCTCTTCTAAAATATAAGTTGACTTTGAGTTTTAACCTTGCCCCCTATGTAGAACCCAGTGAGTTATTTACTGAAAGAATGAATGAGTCGTGTATATGTGTGTGTTATATTATATGTAGTATTCCATTATGTATTATATACTATATGTTATATATTATATATAATTTCTTATATTATTTGTTTACTTGTTTTATTTTATGATTTTGGAGACAGTCTTTTATAGCCAGGCTGTCTTTGGGCTCTGTAGACAGCTGAGTCTGGCTCTGGACGTCTGATACTCCTGCCTCTGCCTCTTGAGTGTTAGGATTACAGGTCTGAGGCACTACACCTGAATGACTCACTCTTGAAACAGTTTAACATTAATGCCTAGCGGTTTTATGGCTCTGTAGAAATCTCTTCTGCGTTATCTAGCTGAAGAATACATATTCTTAAGTTGTTCTGCTTCGCTACACGCCTTATGGAAGTAATCAATTACTAGTGCTGTAATCAATGGGTGTGTCAGGAGATATCCTGGTACGGAATGGTACCAAGGAGGACAACATTAGACTTTGCTGACCTAGCTGTAGGGAGGTGAGGGTGGCAGAGCCAGCTGGGAGGGCAGAGAAGACGGATGATAGAGTTATGGTTCCTAAAGGCACAATGGTTTAACCCCCAAAGGAAGGAAGTGCTACTGCCCTCATCTTACACTCTATGATATGTTCATATGTGTACATGTATACTCACGTGTGTGTACATAGTTTTTAACAAGAGGATGAGAGTTAAAAACAAACAAACAAACTGTGATCCAAGTTTTTTCCCTTTCAGTCTAGTGTTGCTCAGTTCCACAGCCCGTCACCACTTGCTGTCCGCATTCTAACTTTCAAGCCAAATAGCAGCTTCCCGAAAGGTCCCCTCGTGTCACTCAACTCTCTGGCAACCTGCTGTTCTGAGTGTGACAAATGAACTCTAAGAGAATTACTCTGAAAGAGTTTGTGTGGGGGCAGGTTGGCCACAGTGGCACATGCTGCTGCTTCATCACTCTCCCCCCCTTTAGAAGCCAAGAAATTTAGGTCAAACAATCCTACAGACATTTCGCTTCAAGATATGATTTTATCCGTACTTGTGGGAGACATTTGTGGGAGATAATACCGTATTATTAAGAATCGTGTAATCCACACCTGAGGTAAAGGATGGCATTGAACTCTGAAGGTGGTATTTGAGGCAAGCGAGATTGAAATGAGTGTGTTTTGATAAAAGCCGCCCTGCAGTCAACACTCTTTTCTGTTAACAGGATATCTTGACCAAAAGCTGTAGTCTCACTGGGAGATACTTTGTGCTGCTCATCACGTTGCCTTTCACACAGTAGGTGTTTAGCAAAGCATTTGCTATAGGACTGATTTAGGTTTCATGCCACCACATAATTTAAGCTGCCTGATCCACCTTGGTGTGTGTTCTGGCCTGGATCTGCTTGAAAACAGCCTTCGTTTAGAACAAAGAGACACCTCTAATCAC